AGTACACCTGTGTCGTGCAATGCCCACAGAGGACAGAAGAGGCTGTCGAATCCCCTGGAACTGGAGTTATGACAGTCGTTAGCTGCCATGTGGGTGCTGGGATTCGAACCCAGGTCTTCTGTAAGAACAGCCAGTGTTCTTAATTACTGAGCCATCTCTCCAGCCCCGACAATAATATTTTTTACAAAAACCAATTATACTTAAATTGAAAACTAAAAAAGGAGGGGGAAAATAAGGTTTCTGCACATTTCTATTTTCCTTTTGACCTGTGGTACTGGGGATTAAACCCAGGGCATGGTGCATGTTGGAAAAGCACTCTACCCCAGCTCCATCCCCAGCTCTGCTAATAAATCTCTTTAATGTCTAGCTCAGTAGAAGACAGCTGGATTCTCATATGGTTTCTGCATGCAATCTCTTACACTGTGTTGATTTGGTTATGGTATGTGGAGGAAACATAGCTTTACCCAGACACTGGAGGCATGACTGGAGAGGGAATAGCTGTTCTCATGGACAGCCCTCTTTGATACTACATTAAAATTCAGACAGGGTAGCCTCTAAAGGTTATGATATGGAATCGGAAACCAAACTATAACAAACATTTCATGTTCTGTTAAATGAGAATTTATTGCTGTATCTCACACTTTGAATGGATCTTTTATTTATGCCACATTTTGTAATGACATCCATTGGTTATTCAGAAAATATTGGTTGACCATCTTACACAGGTCTTTCAGATGATAATATTCAAAACTACATTTCACATCTATCACCACCAACCTTATCAGAAAGTCTTTCAGTTTAAATTGTCAATGTCACAGTACCAAAATTTTTACATTTCTCAAATTTGGGGTCTGGAGAGATGGCTCAGTGGTTAAGAGCACTGGCTGCCAGGTTCAGTTGCCAGCACCCACATGGCAGCTAACAACTGTCCATTAACTCCAGTTCCAGGGGACGTGATGCACACTTCTGTCCTACGAGGGCACTGCATGACATGGGTGCACTTACACACATGCAAGCATAACACTCATACGCATAAAATAATTAATTTTTAATTTTTTTTTTTGGTCTTTTTGAGACAGGGTCTCCCTGTAGCTCCAGCTGCCTAGAACTCGCTCTGTAGACCAGGCTGGCCTCGAACTCACAGAGATCCGCCTGCCTCTGCCTCCCAAGTGCTGGGATTAAAGGTGTGTACCACCACACCTGGCTAAAAATATATTTTTTTAAAGGTCTCAAATTTCCAAAATTCTAATTTTTACTTACTGAACAGGAGAAAATACTCACAAAGCACACAACTGACAAGGGGTCAGACTCAGAATATATAAAGAACAAGGAGAACTCAAAAGCAAAAAACCCACATAATATGATTTTACAAATGGGTACTAGATCCAAAAAGACATTTTTCGAAAGACAAATGGTCAACAGGCATGTGAAAAAATGTTCCACATCACTATGAGGGAAGTATAAATCAAAACCATAATGAGACATCACCCCAGCAAGAACAGCTATTACCAAAAGGAAAAAAACAGTTCCTGACTCCAGTTCCAGGGGATCCAATGCTCTCTTCTGACCTCCTCGGGCACCGCACAATATGGGTGCACTTATATGCATGCAAGCAATCTATTCATATGCATAAAAAATATTAAAAAAAAAAAAAAGCCAGGTGTGGTGGCACATACCTATAGTTCCAGCATTGGGAGGCAGAGGCAGGCAATCTCTGTGAATTCAAGGCCAGTCTGGTCTACATAGTGAGTTCCAGGGCAGCTGGGGTTACAGAGAGACCCAGTCTCAAAAAGACCAAAAGAATAAATAAATAGTAAAAAAAAATTTTTATATTCTATTTATTATTTTTATTCCACGTGTATGAGTGTATTGCCTGCATGTATGTGAGTGCACTCATGTCGTGCAATGCCACAGAGGTCAGAAGAGGGCTTCGGATTCCCCTGGAACTGGAGTCAAGGACAGTTCATAGCCACCATGTGGGTGCTGGGAATCGAACCTGAGACCTCTGAAAGAGCAGTCAGTGCTCTCAAGCGCTGAGCTGTCTCTCCAGCCCCACTATTGAAGTTTTAATCAGTTCATCTGCCTTGCAGAAAGTGTAAGGTTTCATTCCTTCCGGATCATTCATTAAAAGTTGTTAAACAACAACAACGGAGTGACATGAAATGCTAAATGTCTAAAATAACGCTGTGGAAGCTATTCAGTGGGGAGAGTTTCAGTTTCCTCAGATGAAAGTCATGAGAGCTGTGGTACAACAATGCATGTAGTTAGCACACTGCTAGGGGCAAGGATTGGTGGCAGAACACTTGCCTGACATGTGCAAAGTTCTGAATTCAGTGCACAACACCACATATACCCATGGGGAAAAAAAGCCCACAGAAAATAACTACTGCTAGGTTTAAACATGAGGGAGGGAGGGAGGGAGGGAGGGAGGGGAGGGGAGGGGAGGGAGTCTTTAACTGCTCTGAGAATAATTACAGGGGTGAAAATAGAAAAAAACAGTTAGGAAATAAATGCCTCAGAGTTCAGGGAGGACTATTTAGGAAGCCAGGATGACAGTGAAGGTAGGAAAAGGGATGAATTTGGGATACAACTGGAGGCTGGGTCCACAGATGCAATCAGCTATGGCTTGGCAGTCTGTACAAGACCATGGTCCCCTTTGGATGGAGGTTCAGGAAGGGCAGTGGGGCCATAGTAATAGCCCATGTTGGAGTCTGAGTGCTGGTTAGCCAGGGGAGCTGTGTGTGTCAACATTCACACACTAGTGATCACAGGCACTTTCCAGTATATGCACTCCTTAAACACTAATTTTCTAGACTGTGGGTACAATTACGTAAGTATGCGAGGGTTGCTTTTCCCATGAGGTGAGGGGGGATATAGAACACACTGCTCTAGATGTGACCATGTAGAGGGCAGAGGACAGCAAATGATGGAGGGAAGGGAGAAGGGGGGAGAAGGAATTCCTGGAAGGTGAGCGTGACAGACCCTGCACAAAGTCTTCTGAACTCAATACTGTTCTTCCTGTTCCAGCTGCTTCTGATTTCACCAGGATACTTCTGAATGTCATTTTTTAGGTTTTGTTTTCAAACTTCTAATGTCCTTTTAATTCCTCAAATGGCATATCTGCCCTAATTGAATTTCTAGTAATTAAAATTTTCAAATTCAGTATTTCATCTCTCATGAAACTGTTTCAAGTACTTCTGAGTTCTTTTAACTTGGTATTTCTAAGCTATTAAATAACCCAAGACAGTATTTTACTTTGATGTGCTTGCTTGGCATCTGATCAACAATGCTGTAGTTACAGTATGTTCAATTTTAGTTGCTAATATTACCTCTTTCTTAAATGAGTTCTATAAAACAAGGATGCCGCTTAGCCTTTAAATGCAATTATAGTCATCTAAAACCATGTATCCCTGCAGTTACTAACCATCCCATCTGAAACCGGTGGCTATGAACTGAGTCAGTGATACTAATTTTGGAAAACTGTTAGGTTTAATGGCTTGATTATTTAAGAAAACAGTCTTTTCACATCAGCTATTCTGCTAGATATTTTGTGCACAGGCAGGTTAGTCTATTTAGTGACAAGACAGGAATTCCTGACTGACAGCTTCTACTTCTCTGTCAACTTTGAGACAAGTGTGTGTACTAAGGATGAGGCAGAGAGTGAGCTGTGGGATGCCGGAGGAGAAAGAAGGTAAAAACGCTGCCTTATGGCAGAGTGAGAAGACGAAGGTACCACAGAATGCTGAGCACTTCTGTTGGTGCCCTCCAGGAGGAGAACATGAGCATGAAGGGAAACCTGTCCATTGGTCACGTTTGTCTCCAGTGGCATAAAGCTGCTTGATGCAGGCACACAACAGGGTCAAGGCTTGGCCAAGTGAGCATAATAAACAGAGGAAAGAGGGGGGTGCTACTGTGCTTATGCAGTGTTTCATCACTGACCACTGCCTCTAAGCTAAGAGGATGATGAACAGGAAAAGGTTCATGAAAAAAAATCCTAATGAAACTGAAGATCAGCTGGCACAGGAGTCAGAGGAAGGCAGCTAGAAGATCAGGCTCGGACATCTGAGGTAGACAGGGAGATGGTATGATGGTGAGAACGGCCAGCCCAGGCAGAATGGACTACACAGCATTAGGAAACAAGGCATTCAGGAAATGGAGAGGACCAAGGCACTGCAGAGGGCACATGTAGGGATGCTACAGTCCTGGGGCCAGTGAGATGCTCAGTGGGTAAAGATACTTCTCACGCCAATACCCGAAAACCACACAGAAAAGAACCAACTCTGGAACACTGTCCTCTGACCAACACATATGCACCAAGGCACATGCATGTACATACAAAAATAAATATAATAATAAAAAAAGAGTCTCAAGTATGAGTGGACAAGGTGGTCATGAATCTCAAGATCAAAAGTCACCAGTGGGGATGGGGGTGTAATTCAGCGGCAGAATGCTTGCCTAGCATAGGAAAGGTTCTAGGTCTCAGCATGGGAAACGAACAAAGCTCACAGAGATGATTAGAAAATGTCAAAAACAGCTGAGCATGATGCCACACACCTTTAGTCCCAGTACTTGGGAGGCAGAGATAGGCAGATCTCTGTGTGTTCAAGGCCAGCATGGTCTACACAGTGAGTTCCAGGCCAGCTGGGACTACAGGGAGACTCTGTCTTCAAAAAGACCCCCCCCCAAAAAAAAAAACAAAGAAGAAAATGTCAAAAACAAGGAGCCAGTCTGACAGCATGAACTGGAAAGGAAATGGCTTGAAAGCTGAAATGCAGAGCAAGAAATCACCCTACCCAAAATATAAGAAACATCACGGTATCTACTTGAATGTGCAACAGTGGCATAATCATTATGGGGGTAACCAACTGCTTTCTGATTGGATTTGAGGCCTGCTCTGTTAAGAGTGAATTCATTGTATTGTAAAACTGGTCAAAAGCCCATGGCTGGGGAGGTCATGGGCCCTAAGTGAGAACCTACAACTGTTTTGTCAAACTACCTTCTAAGTATTTATGTTCATACCAGTGGTTTTGTGCTGCTCTCAACCAAGGTCAGAAAACTTTTTTGTAGTGGGCAGTAGTTAATGCAGACTCATAACCTGCCAAAGTGCTAAGAATAAGTCACTATAAGTGCTCAGCCCTAATGGGGACAACTACATCAACCCCCACCCATCCTGGCTCAGGAACATAGCAGAAGAGGGAGGAAAGAATGTAAGAGCTGGAGGATGGGGAGGAGTACTCTGACATGCTGTCTTCTGGACATGACATGACCCTTGTGCTCATGAACTCACAGCAGCTGTTACCTGCACAAGATCAAGCCAGATAACAATCACAGCATAGACAGGAGAGGGGCTCACAGGGCCCCACCTCTAGCTGAGGAGCTATTGGCAGTGGATAGCTGCTAGGGGAGAGTCATTTTCCTTTGTGAGTGTGGCACTGATATGTTGCCTATACTCCTGTGGATGGCCACACCCATGTGTATACAGGCAGCACTAATTGGACTCAGTGGGTTATCGAAATAAATAAGAAGAGGACATGAGGTACAGAGGGGAATGTGTTGGGGGGCATTCAGAGGGAGTTCAAAGTAGGGGAGTAAGAAGGGGTAAGTATGATCAAAATACATTGTGTACATGTATGAAATTCTCAAAGAATAAACAAACATAATACATTTTTAAAAAAGAGTATTTCCTTAAGAGGACAATGAGACAAGAACCCATTAGGAGACAGATTTTAATTAGGGAAAAGACACAGATTAGGAAGAGAACATATATGAATTCTGGGAATGGTTCCAGAAGGTTCTTTAAAGAATTTAAGAATAAGAAACTTGGGTCATTGTCATTGGCTCAGTGAATAAAGGCACTTATTACTAAGCCTAATGACCTGAGTTTAATCCCTGGGACACACATGGTCGACAGAACAAAATCCTGCAAGTATCCTCAACCTCCATATGTACACATACCGTCTCTTCTCCCAACTCCACAAAAATAAATAAATGTAAACTAATAAGACCCTCCAGCTGAGTAGCTCTAAAGCTTGTGCTATTGAAGGCTCTCTGCTGTTTACAGGACAAAACTCCTGAGACAACTTCAGGTTCTATTTCTGGCCACTGATTTTTATCCATTATTTTTATCTATCATTTTGAGGGTAAGCCCCCCCAAATAATTCTAAGTTTAAATTTATACAGGGCATTTGGGCTGGAGAGATGGCTCAGCAGTTAAGAACACTAAATGTTCTTGCAGAAGACCTGGGTTCAGATCCCAGCACCCACACGGCAGCTAACAACTGTAACCCCAGTTCCAGGGGAACCCGACAATCTCTTCTGTCCTCTACAGGCATTGCGGAGGACACGGGCACACTTACCTACATGCAGGCAAGACACACATACATGTAAAATAAAAATAATAAAAAATATAAATAAATAAATTCAAAGTTTTAAGTGCTTACCTCTATTTCTGTAACTTTCTCAGAAGGATTATCAATCAAGAAACGTGCTAAAGTCCCAGGAGTTGTTCTGTAAGTTAGAATGATTGAGTTTTTAGGGTCCTGACACCACTGGATAAAGAGGTCCCTTGAGAATCCACACTCCAGGTCAGGCTGGCTGGCAAGTACAACTTTGGGGCTTGGCACTCGAGCTAAGTCAGAAAGACCATGGCACAGAGAGAGATGGCGAAACTGAAATGGGTTGTTTCTCTTATCTTCAAAACATCTCATCAGCTTATCACTCATCCATTCTACCTAATACAAGGGGAAAGAATGACAACAGTGAGGAAATGCCACACCTGCGAAGTGTCCAACAACAGTCAAGGTTAAGCCCCACCCCAGTTGATTAAACTTAACTCCTTTTGACAAGCAGCTAATCATTTTCCTATTAGATCCTTCCATCCCTGTTTTCATCCTTAAAAATTTGGCAGTGTTTCACCCGTGTCACCTTAAATCTTTTTGAGAATGGGGATGTTCTAAGCAACGCTTCAAGGGAAAGCACTCATTTTAAGAACAATGATTTGTTGGACATGGTGGCACATGCCTTTAGTCCCAGCACCCAGGAGAATCTGAGTTTGAGGCTAGCGAATTCTGGCACTGATATGCTATGAAGTAAGTTCTACTTTTGCCCCCAATTTGCAAACCAGGATAACAAGATTTAGCAAACAAGCAACTTGGAGCTGGAGAACTGGCTCATTGTCTGTAAGTGACACACTGTTTTTGTATAGGACAAGAGTTTGGTTTCCAGTACCTACATCTAGTGGCTCAAATCCACCTGCAACTCCAGCTGAAAGGTAATCAAATGCCTCTGGCCTCCTCATATGCACACATCCTCATTCACACACACACACATAATTGAAAAATAATTTTGGGGGCTGGAGAGATGGCTCAGCAGTTAAGAGCACTGACTACTCTTGCAGAGGACCTGGGTTCGATTTCCAGCACCCACGTGGCAGCTACTAACCATCCTTAACTCCAGTTCCAGGGGAATCCGAAGCTCTCTTCTGACCTCCGTGGCATTGCACGACACGGGTGCACCCACATACATGCAGGCAATACACTCGTATACATAAAATAAAAATATTTAAAAAAAATAATAATTTTAAAAAATCTTTGGAGGCTGGAGACTGCACTGACTGCTCTTGGAGAGAACTAGGATTCAGTTCCCAGTACCTACATGGCAGTTACCAGTATCTTTGGTTCCAGGGAATCCAATGCTGTCATCTGGCCTCCACGAGTTTTGCACACAAAGGTGCACTTACATGATGGCAAAACACTCATACACATGAAAATAAAAATAATCTTTTAAAAAAAGAAAACAAGCCAGGTGTGGTGGTGCACGCCCTTAGTCCCAGCACTCAGGAGGCAGAGGCAGGCAGACCTCTGTGAGTTCGAGGCCAGCTGGGACTACAGGGAGACCCTGTCTCAAAAAAGATCAACCCCCGCCCAAAGAAAACAAACAACCTTCCCAATCTGCAAAATGGAGACAAAAATAGGGTATATATGGACTAAATGTGATAATACATGTGAAGCATGTGATAAACAATGTTCTGCTACTACTTTAATTACCACTTCAGAAAAATCAACTCTGAATGGCAATTAAGATACTATATTCCATCACACCTTTAATCCCAACACTCAGGAGGCAGGGGCAGGCGGATGTCTGTGATAGCAGGCTACAAGGAGTCCGTCTCAAAAAAAAAAAAGATACTAATATTCCACAAGCCCAGTAATGGTAGCAAACTTCTTTATTTCATATAACATGTAAACAAACCTGTGACTTAGAGAACTCCACCACGTTATAACTGACATTATTTAGGAGTGCCAGCGAGTAAACACCCAGCCCTGCATCTTTGGTTCTCCAAATCTGATCAAGAAGCTGAGCAAGCTCCAGAACTCTGCCTGCGGTGTCCACTGCTATCAACACGTTTCCGTCACCTCGAAGAGTTTCCAGGACATTTGCTAGAAAACAGGAATGGAAAATCACTATAACCCATGAGCTCTGCTACAAAATTAAACATAACACCATTTCCCAGTATGACATATGTAACTACTAAGCCAGGTATAAAAGCATTTTGTTCAGGTCAACACAACCACTTTTGATTCTGTTAAATATATCTTCCTAGGAGTAAAACACATATTTTGCATGCATGAGTATAGAATAAAGTACAGAATACCTTCTCTTCCAACAAAAGCATCTTTACAAACAGATGTCTTTGCTCTAGATCAAAGTCAGCTTGAAGAATTAAGTAAAAGCAAACTCTAGCAAACCCCCACAGATTAAAATTAAAAACCAAGAACTGAAGTGCTTCTTAAAGTTAATGAATTAGTGAAACACAGTTATGATTTTTAAGCAGAGATGACAGTGGTTGCTAACATGTTTAAAAATGGAACCCAGTTTTCCCTATTGCAATCCCATATGGCTTATAAAGAAGAACATGAAGTGCGGCCACACGAGTCAAAGCAGAAGTGACGGCTGCAAGGCCCCTCTGTAAAGTAGAGATGACGTGACTGGAGGATAAAATGCCCAACACCCAAGTGAGGGGACAATGTGTACCCTCACTTCTCTCTCACTTTTACAGTGTGTTTTTTCTGACTGATATATATGCAGTCATTATACAGAGACATATACTAGTGAGTCCCTGGAGAACTACCTATGTGCTAAGTGGTAGAGGAGGCCAATCTTTGTAAATATTCTGAAAAAGCATCTTGTTATAGTCACATTAACATTTCTTCTAGAGTTACAGAGCCAGCAAAACAGCTCAGTGGATAACCCTAATGACCTGAGTGTGATCCTGAGACACACAGTGGAAGCAGCGAACTGCTTCCACAAGTTGTCCTTTGACCTCCATAGGCATACAGTGGTATGAGTGCATGCAAGTGCACACACACGCACACACACACACACGGGGGGGGGGGAGAATAAATAAATAAAATAATTTTAAAAAGACTATAGAGTTGGCCAATCTCTTATGACCTAGACAAACAAAACAAGCAGTAATTACTATCTCCCATCCACAGCTATTTCAGTGGGACATTAGGCAATACATACTCAGAAGCTGCTCATCTCTCTGCTTCCTTCTAGGCTGCACATAGGTAGCATTAAATGAATCTGTGATAAGTAGAGAGGGTCTGCTCAGCATTTCCAGGGAGCATCCATTTAAGTGGCTACAACAAAGTTTAAAGATAAAGAATGTCCATGTCATTGCAAATTTAGCTTATTTAAAATTCAAGCAATAGCATTTATAAGACTCCCTCCCACACTAACTATAAAAGTAGACATGCTTGTTGATTTAAAGTATCTGATAAATTCACCAGGTGTGGTGGTACATGCCTTGAAACCCAGCACTTGGGAGGCAGAGGCAGGTGGATCTCTGTGAGTTCCAGGCCACCTGGGGCTACAGGGAGACCCTGTCCCCCCACACCCCCAAAACAAATCTGATAAATTCAAAAAACTGTAAGAAGGAAAATAAAAAATCTTCCAGGGGACCAACACTTCAAGGTAAGTGATACAGTATTTTGGGTATATCCTTCTAGGCATATGAATTTTTCTGTGTATCTATATATGCATTTGAAACATAGATTTCCAACATATATTCCTATACAAGCATTTCTATATTCTGGACTTTTCCCATGATATTACTTTTTTTTCTAAACCTAATTTTTAGAAATTGTAAAACTTTATGTCTGTCATTTGGTTTTTTTGTTGCTGTTTTTTCTGTCATTTGTTTTTGAGAAACTGGTTATGTGCAGCCCAGGCTGGCCACAAAGTCACAATTCTGCCTCCGTTCCCAAGTGCCAGGACTATAGGTGTGTGCATGGCATCCAGTTCACAATTGTAAAAACTTTCTATCCTGTCTGTACTATATTGTATTTTTTGATTATTTCCTTTTATCAACTTAAGTCATATTTTGCCACTTTATCTTTCAAATATATTTTTTACAAAAAGTTTCAGTTGTAGATCTTTCTTTCCCTTTCTTTTTTGAGATAGAGTCTTGTGTAGCCTAGACTGACCTGGAACTTGCTATGTATCCAAGGCTGACTTTGAACTACAGATCTTCCTGCCTGCACCTCTAAAGTACAGATGTGCCACCCACTCAGGTCTATTTCTTATTTCCTTAGGACAAAGCCCTTGAAATGTCCGAACTAGAACATACAGTTGTCAAATGGCTTTCCAGAAAGGCTTAACCCTTTCCAGAAAAACTTTCCTTTTAAAAGGCTGGAGAGATGGCTCAGCGGATAAGAGCACTGGCTGCTCTTGTAGAGGACCCAAGTTCGATTCCCAGCACTGACTGGCGGCTAACAACCTTCTGTTAACTCCAGTTCTGGGGGAATCCAATGCCGTCTTCTGACCTCTGAGGGCACTGTATAACATGGGTGCAATTATACACATGTAGGTAATACACTCATATGCATGCGTGCGCGCGCACACACACACACACACACACACAATCTTGCCAGAAAGATTCAACCAAAAAGACCAAAAAACTCACTAAGTACTTCTCAAAAACTACCACAATTTTAATATATCTAGTAAATGCCTATTATTTCAGTATCCTCTTTTTTGACTAACATTTGTCCATTTTACAACTACTACATTTTTGATTACTTGAGCAATATCTGATCTTATACATATGCAAATCTTTGGCTAACTGTCAAAAGTATTTTCCCTAGTTTACTGATTTTATAATGCAGTTTACTGTTTCTGATAGTTTATATCTGTATGTAATCAAATTTATCAGACTTTTCTTTTGTAAGTTGGCCCATTACCTTTAGGGTGTAGTACAGTCTCTTCCAAATCAGAGATCAGACACATCAATAATGTGTCCTTTGCTAATTAATTCTAATCCATCTAAAATTTATTGTTGTAATATAGAAAATACAAATTGATGTTTTTCTATAATGGTTGAATTCATTCACCATTTGCTCAACTTTATATCTTCATTAGTCCATGATTACAAATCTAAATGCAATTAATCTGCTAGTCTTTAATTTTTCTTAATGTAAAGATCTTCAGATTACTGTAATCTAATACAAAATAGCTATGGACAATGTACAGATTGAACAAAGAAATCTTGTAGGAGACTGAACAACAAAAAATTTAGTAGTTTTCTGAATACCAAATGAATCATGTAAAATTATAACATGCTACCTTTCAAAGGGAATCTGTCATTAAATTAGATGATAATTATTAACTCTACTCCCTTCTTCCGAAACACAAAAAAACATAAAGTTCTGTCAAGAAATAAGTCAAGATCATATAAAATATAATTTAGTGCACAAAAATTTCCTTTCTTTGAACATCTCCTTGGAAATATCTGTTTTATAGGAGATAGTAATATATAAAAATTGTAAAGCTCTTTATGTCCTACACAAAACTTCACCCCTTAACAATGCAAATAACAATGAAAACAGTTACTCCTTGGTACTTTAAATTGCTCTAGATTTTGAATTAAAAAACAAAAACAAAAAGTTGCTTCCAATTTTCCCTCCAAAGGATGAAATAGTAACAACTACATTTCTTTAGTATGGGTCTCAATATACCTACATCTCCCTCTTGTGGTTGAAGTCAACAGCATAAACAATTTCTTCTTCTCCATCTTTGACGATTTTCCATATTGTTCCACCTATCATATGACCGGCGGGCAGAGGTGTGATAGACAAACCATGTCCTTTACCTAGTCAACAAGATAATAACAACATTCGGATTCTTCCACAATCCTAAGGAAAGCTGTATTTGTAAGCCATATTAATAGGCGACATATTCAATGACACAAAATTCTGAAGTGAAATGATATTCTTACAGTGAAGAGAAGGTCTCCCTCTCATGTCCCCAGCTACTCCATTCCTTTAATGGAGACAAGGGTCTTTCCATTTCATTACGTATTCTTGCAAAGATATTTGTGCTTATAAATACAAGGCTGGAGACTGGACTTTAGAGCCAGTACACTATGACTGTGCATGAACTAGTAAATTCATTTCTGTTGCTGGTGATCAGATGCAGAGCCTCATGCATACAAGGCAAGTGCTCCTATCACCACACTATAGCTGTAGGACTAGATTTTAATATTTGTATTCTACAAATAATTGTCAAATTGTTTCCATCTTTGCTAACTTAAACTGACAGACTAACAATTCAAATCTCCTTAGGGTAAAGAATGTACCCACTGAAAAACTAAATATAAGCAAAACTATTGAGACTATACCACTGGTGGTCATTTTGTGGCTAAATCATCAGAAAGACCCAGACACATTAACATTACCTTTGTTCATCCTACACATTATAAACACTGAGTTTCCAACATGAATATGAAAACATCCAGGTCAGAGTTGGAGAGATGGCTCAGCTCAGTAGCTCTTGCAGAAGACCCAGGTTCAGTTCCCAACATCCAGGTCAGAGTTGGAGAGATGGCTCAGCAGTTAAGAGCATTGGATGCTCTTGCAGAGGACCCAGATTCAGTTCCCAGCACCCCTACTGTAGCAACAACTGTCCTAAATGCAAGTACCAGGGGATCCAACACCCTTTTCTGACTTCTGCAGGCACTGCATACACAATGCATGTAGACACAACATACACATATAATTTACAAAATAAGAGAGCATGCCTAGGTGTTAACATGTTCTTAGTATTTAATATGGAATATTCTGAACATCAAATGGAAATTCAAGGTAAGAAGTACTAATTTTTATTCTCATATCATGGTGCGTACAAGTTTTATTATAAATTCTCAGAGTTTTTCAGGTTAAACTCTGTTAGTTCAGGCTGGGTGCAATGCAGCGCTGTGATAAGACTGTTTGCTCAGCATGTGTGAAGCTCTGGGTCAGATCCCAGAACTCTAAAAACTTAAAAAAGGGGGCTGGAGAGATGGCTCAGCTCAGTAGCTCTTGCAGAAGACCCAGGTTCAGTTCCCAGCACCCACATGGAGGCTTATAACCGTCTGTAACTCCCATTCCAGGGGATCTGATGCCCTCTTGGAACCTCTGCGGGCATTGCATGACACAGGTGCATTTACATACATGCAGGTAATACACTTATTTGCATAAAAAAAGATAATTTTTTTAAACTTAAAAAAGAAAACAAAAACCCCACTGTTATCTATCAATTTATATTTTTTTACCTTTTAAATTCACAATCTGAGAGAATTTTAGCTGCTGTATTTTATCAAAGGCTGCATCCACGTCATCTAACGTAAAGAGTGTAAAGTCTTCTGTATTGTGTCGAGACTAAAAGAACAGCACAAACCAAGGGTTAAAGACGATCCCCAGTGGGGCATAAAAGCCTTTTTTTGTAATTGTTTAAATTACCTGATAAAGATCATACATGAACATCTGCCCCATTTTATAAACAGGAATGGTTGCATAGATTGCACAGTTCAGACCCAGCTTCCCCACGGCAAATGGGAGGGCACCAAGGTGGAGGGGGTCGGGGTGAGAAAGGAGCACCGCGTCGATCTGGTGGACATGTCTGAGAACACAACCAAAATGACACTCCATCAGTTCTTTTTGAGGGTGAACATTAGAGCTGTCATCATGCATCACCCATTCTACAGGGAAGGCTTGCTGGTAGAAGTGCAAACCAAGAGCTACAACAACACCCAGGGACAGCAATACTGCTGCTATCATGAGTAAGGTGCATCTTAAAATGTGTCATCTAGACACACTGAAGAGGGAAAATATGGATGCCATATGCAGGTTGATCTTGTATGGGAATCCTGTATGCCCTGAATTTAAGTTCAAGAAGTTGGCTTAGAATTGAGGAAATTGTTAAAGAGGCAATATTTAAATGCTCAGATGTTTATTATAGACTTTTGCTTCAGTTTTAGCTTGGTGACTGATAGCAAAATATCAACTGTCATAAATATCAATTAACCAGGGAAGCATATGTTCTTGATGACAGAATTAAGGACAAGCCTTGAAACTTTTCAGGAGGGTTTCAAGTTCTAAATGATTTTTAATAATATTTAAGTCCTTTCTAATGAGTAAAACTTGCTGCAAATGTAGCTGAATTTCTTTTTGACAGATTAGGATCCTTTTGTATCATGTAGATATTATTCAAAGAACCAAGTCACACTGTTACAAATCAAGACACAGAGCCAGGTGTGATGGTGCACTCCTTTAATCCCAGCACTTGGGAGGCAGAGGCAGGCGGATCTCTGTGAGTTCAAGGCCAGCCTGGTCGACATAGTGAGTTCCAGGACAGCTGGGGCTACAAGGAGACCCTATCTCAAAAAGACCAAAAATAAAAATAAAAAAAAGAAAGAGAATCAAGACACGGGAAGTGAGGTAACGTTACACAGGACAGAGCTTTCACAGGGAAGGTGTTGCCTCTTTTTAGGTTTTTTACAAGCTTGTACTCTTTCCTACAACTAGAGAGCATAGTTTCTGTGGCCTATCAGCCAAGTAACAATCAAGATTTCTATACATTTCAATAAACAAAATTCCTAAGTCAATCAAGACAATAAATGGTTCATGATTTAGTGCAAAGATAGCAACAGTATATAACAACTAAATGATATTACAAAAGTGTGGAAAAAAGTTGAGGGATTTTTTTTTTTAGCTGATTTAATAAAAGCCTAGAAATAAGAACTGCAACTTACTTTCTCAGGGAATCAATAATATCCATAGAGAAGTGTTCATCCCAGCCACAGTCCAATAAAAACCTAAACTCATCAACCTGGAGAAGATAGCACAGAGCAGACTCTTCCTGAACCCCAGAGAGGGTAGTCAGTTTGATAATAGATGTCATCTTTTTGGTCCAGTAACAGTTGTCTAAAAGGTAATTTCAAAAAGAAATATAATTAAACATAAAAGCACAGTATATATATAACACGCAAATTTTTTCAAATTTGTAAGTGCACACAAATTCCAGAATCTGATTAAAAGTTAACATGTTAAAATCCATGCCACTGCTGCCAAGTTTAAAAGCATGAGCACACACATACAATCTGTTTATAGAGTCCTTCAGTGCCTCCCCAGATGGGTCCATGAACAGTAGTGGACTTTGGAATCTCATGATCAAGATTCCTACATGGTTTTGAGCAAGTTAAATTTAAACTTTTCCTCACCTGTATATTCCAGTTCATAAAAAAGTGCTAATATACACATAAAAAGGATATTGGGGGTTCCCAAAAATGTTTAAATGACCTAGAGCAAAGATTATTGCATCCAACTTCCTCAACAGTTAAATGTTTAAAGAACTCACTCTTCAAAGTCAACTTGTTCTTTATCTAGTTAAGTGACTACGATGATCACAGAGCATTACAGTGACTAGTTATGTACTAATTATATGAGGTCCTTAAGTATACTCTTTTGAGAATCTTACTAAAAGCTATGGATCCCTTATTCTCTTAAACAATCCTCTACACACACACACACACACACACACACACACACACTCGTACACAATGTATACACCTTCATTAAACTCACATGCTTTTCAAGAATTTTAATGTCAAAAATAGTTGTACTGTGATGCAAGCAACTGAAAAAGTTTGTGTGCAATTAATGTTTACTGTACCTAATGTTTGCAATTCCTAAAATAAAATGTGATGTGCAGTAGGTACTCAACATACAAATGATGGAATCTATGTTGAGATGCCTACTACATGTTTTCCAAAACAATTAATATGAACACAAGCACTGAGATTTCAGACCTTAGAGAATTTCAATTCTAGCCTGGCATAGTGGAGTATGCCTGTAGTCACAGCACTCGGGAGGCAGAGGCAGGGAGATCTCTGGGAGTTCGAAGCCAGCCTGATCTACATACATAGTTGAGTTCCAGGTCAGCTGGGGTCTTAGAGACCCTGTCTCAAAAACACCAAAAAAATAAAAATAAAAAAATAAAATAAAATAAAAGTTCAATTCTAGAGCAACAGCATTTCAGATTTTAGCTCCTTAAGATAAAACTGGCCCTTCCTGGCTACCATGCAAGTGGGAAAGATGTCGCTGAATGATCTGATGTGCTTCTCTGAAAATTCTCTGCACGTTTGTTATCACAGAAACCCCGATGTTCCCTAATGACACTCTCTCCTGCATGCTTCTCAGGAGACGTTATTTTTATTTTGTGTGCACGAGTGTATTGCCTGCATGTGTGTAGTGCACCCCTGTCATGCAGTGCCCGTGGAGGTCAGGAGGTGTCGGATCTCCTGGAACTGGAATTAACGAACAGTTGTTAGCCGCTATGTGGGTGCTGGGAATCAAACCCAGAACCTCTGCAAGAGCAGTCAGTTGCCCCTAACCGCTGAGCCATCTCTCCAGCTCCCCAGGAGCTTTATTTGTAAACTTCTTGTGCTCCCTGGACCTCAAAAGCAAGAAGTGCATGTTACTCACTCCTCACTGAAGTTTTCAACCTATTCTTTCTATTTCCTTTTTAAATGTTCCATTTCCAATAAAGCTCATGCCATGTAGCCAGTTCACTATTGGCCTTCCATATTCTCTCAGTGCTGTTAACCTGACCTGACTCACTGGGGACTTTCTCCTCCGTAACTTCAATATTGGCCTTTCAGATCTATGACTGACTCCAACAATCTTCAGCCACTCACTGCCACAGCCCAAAGCAGACAGTATCACTACCAGTGTTTATAATACTTCCAAAAGCTCACCTTGAGCATCTCACCTCTCTCACTATCACCTACTTGCTCAAGAAATTCCACTGCCAACTCTTTTGTTGCCAGGTGTAGACACAATATTTATATACTCAGGAGTATTTATGCCAGAGAAATAAAAATGTATGCCTAACAAAAATGTATATACAAATTTTATAGCTATTTTATTGGTTATAGTCAAAACAGCCAATAAACTAAGACACCACAAGGTAGGTGAATGAATGGTTAAGCAAACTGTAGTACATCATACCACAGAGCACTACTTTCAGGGTTAAAAGCAGCAAACTCTGGACACATACAGCATCTGGGGTGGATCTCAGTGCCGTTACGCTGAGTGCAAAAAAAGTCTGAAAAGGTCTCAAACTCTGCGGTGCCATTTGCATAGCAGCATCTTAAAACTCACAGATACCTCTAGATAGAAAACAAAATTGTGGTGGGCAGCAGTTGAGGAAAGACGGGTGTGAATGCAAAGCAGTGCAGGAGGGAGGTGCTGTAACAGTTTGCCCTGTGTTTACAGGGCAAAGGATCATAGCTGGGGCCTTAAGCAGGGCTTGGTGATCCACACCTTTAATCCTAGTACTCAAGAGGCAGAGGCTGGCAGATCTCTGTGAGATCCAGGTCAGCCAGGTCCACATAGTAAGACCATGTTTCAAAAAAAAAACTTGCTAAGAGTCAACAAAATGGCTTAGCAGGTAAAGGTACTTGCATCAAGCCTGATGACTGGAGTTTGATCTCTTGACCCACATGAAAGAGGCAGAAAGAGAGACCTGAGCCCAAAGCACATATGCACCCACATACTCCCCCAGATCACCACCACCACCACACACAATAAATAAATGTAAAAAGAACAATCTTTTGGTCTCACTGATATCTCAACCACTTTTTCACTCTGTCTCTACTGAGGTCCTCACCTTGAACCATCATTTTGCATTTTCCAATATCTTGCTTCCCTAGTATCTTTATATTAGCCTGGCAAAACCTCAACTCCAAATAACTCTAAATCATTCCCCATCTACACCAGCATCTGACAGTTTTAGGGGTGGGTAACCATACAGCAGGGATATCTGCTCTTTAAATTCACAGGTAAAATCTCAGCAGACTGTAATCCAGTCAATCCTGTTTTCTTCATAGGTTCACTCTTCATCTCAGACTATTACCTCACAGCTATTCCCTGCTCAGGCTCCACCCACCTCCCTTCCCTCTGTTCTCAGCTGATAATCTAACAGCATTCTTCACCGGAAAAAAAAAAAGCAGCCACGTGTGGCGTCAACATTTATAACCCCAGTACTCAGCAGGCTGAGGCAGGAAGACTTTCAGAGGGTCTAGGTCAGTCTAGGTTAGAGTAATGCACTGTCCCAAAAGAAAAAAAGAAAATCCAAAAGGTAACTCATTTCCCAGATACCATGTTTATTAACCTTTCTGCACGTCCACTGCTAAGACTCCTGTTATGTAAGACACATCCTTGCCCCATCCAAGGCCAGTTCCTCTGAGTACTCTTATCCCATCCTTTATGATATAAGGCTTGGCTCCCTCAGTCACCCCTTTCTTCCACATCAATAAGTCACTGATCTAGTTTCCCCACATGCGCATACTGATACTCCAGAATGTCCCAGCTTCTAGCCCTCCTAACCCTATCGCCCACAGCCACTGCTTCATTTCTGCTTCTCTTTCAAGCAAAATTTCTCAAGAGTATTTGTTTCCATTCCTTCATCTCCTATCCAAACTATCAAATCTGAGCAGTCAGAGAAATGTATGCTGGCTCGGGCTGCACAAAGGCTTCTGGATGGCCTTATGAAAGTACGACCTCCCCACTACTCTTCCTAGCTTCCACCCATCTCCACTGTCAGCAAGCTCCTAGCTTGGATGCCTTCTTAGCCCCCAGTTCATTCTGTGGCTCCTCTGACATTCGAAGACCTTCTCTACGCACATTATACTCCACAGCACCATTCTGCTTCCCTCAAAATACTTAGTCCTCTCTACAGCTGTTTCGTGCTTACTTGCTTTGTCTCTCCTACTTTCCTCCTGACCCCACCCTAGAATATAGATACCTTGAGAGTGAGATCTTACAGATCAGCCACATTCCAATGCCTCAAGAGGGCCCAACACACAGTGGTAGTCAACAAATGTTCCTTGAATGAATTAAGGCACTGATATTAAGAGCTTAATGCTCTTACCATACCACTGTGTGGCCTAGGTACATATATTTCCTGGCTCTTGGCAGAACTCTCTTGAATACAGGTCTACATTTATCCTTCCCCTTTTTTGTTGTTGTTGAGACAAAATCTCATGTAATATAGACTGGCCTCTCTATATAGGGAAGGATGACCTTGAACTCCTGATCTTACTTCCCAAGTACTAGGATCATAGGCCTGTACATCCACCCCTGGCTAGATTTAACCCATATGATACATTGATTAGCACATGCCCTAACCATAGTAGCTGTACTAATTAAGTTAAAATCTGAAATACACTGACTTAATGTTTTCCTATCTGCAGTATGAGATGTAGAGACATTCTCTATTTCATAAAAAAAATGCTCAGCCAGGCGTGGTGGTGCATGCCTTTAATTCCCCCTTCCCCTCCAAAAAGCTCATAAATACAATTTTAAAGAGAATATAGGCAATACCTTCCCACCACAAAAGCTTCTTTTTCTTCGGTCTTTTTGAGACAGGGTCTCCTTGCAGCCCCAGCTGGCCTGGAACTCACTATGTAGACCAGGCTGGCCTTGAACTCACAGATCTCTGCCTCCCAAGTGCTGGGACTAAAGGCATGCGCCACCATGTCCAACAAAAGCTTCTTATACCATGATTATATTAAGGACCTAAGAGAAACTTTCTGTTCCAATCTACTTTTTTCCAGTGCTTGAACTTAAACTTGGGCCTCATGCTAGCCAAGAAGCTTACCAGAAGCTAAAAGTCCAACCCTTTCAATCTGCTTTAACTGACACTTATACTTAATTGCCAAAGTGCTTGCACAAGTGCTTGCAAATACAATTGGATGAGTTCATGTTAAAGCTTTCTGCAAAAAGACCAAAGATAAAGCTGTGTCTTTATCAGATTTCATTACTTACTGGCACTTCAGTCGCATAAGAAAACACCAACTCAGAGGAAGAGTTCTTTATAAATCTTAAAAGAAAAAAAAAGTGTCATGAATGTAATGAATTGATTCTGTTTATAATTATGGAATTTTAATTTGCATGTCTTTCCCTGAGACATCATGAGTAGCAACAAGTACTGTAAGTTTATTTTTTGAGACAAGGTCTCACTAAAGCAGGCTGGTCTAGAACTCACTATGTAACCCTAATAGCCTCAAATTCCTTATCCTCCTGCCTTAGCCTCTCAAGTACTAAGATTACAGGACTGTGCCACCAGGCCTGGTCCTCTATGCTCCTTTTTCTTTTGAGACAGGGTCTCCCTAAAGTCTCATCTGTCCTGGAACTCACTATGTAGACCAGACTGGCCTTGAACTCATAGAGACCGCCTGCCTCTGCCTCCCAAGTGCTGGGACTAAAGGCTTATGCCACCACACCTGGCTATGCTCCATTTTTTTAAAAAGAAATATAATTTTAAGAAGTTAAACTCCCTAAAGAGGTAAGACATATGAATAAGTAATCACAAGCCAAATTGGTTATAACCAGCTTAAGTATACAGTTTAGAAAATAAGATTTGTTTTTTATTGGTTTTTTTTTTTTGAGACAGGGTCTCCCTGTAGCCCTTGAAACTCCCTATGTAGACCAGGCTGGCCTCAATCTCAAAGAAGTACGCCTGCCTCTGTCTCCTGAGTGCTGGGGTCAATGGCATTTGTCCCCAAGCTTGGCTATAAGATTTTTTTAAATTCTCAATTACTTGTGTTACTGAAAATTGAAAGCCATGCTGTGAGTGGTAGCGTACACCTTTAATCCCAGCACTTGAGAGGCAGAGGCAGTAGATCTCTGTGAGATCGAGGCCAGCCTGGTCTATATAGTAAAACCCTGTCTCAAAAAGTTAAAAAAGAAAAAAAGAAAGGAAGAAAGAAAATCACAGAAGAGCTAAGACTGTTAAAATTTACAAGACCTGAGTGGAAAGGGAGAACACTCAAAAGATAGAAGTAACATTGGCTAGGGCACAAAACACAAAACTAGAGAGTATCAATGAAACTTCAGCTTGGCATGCTTACACAGAAAAAAAAAAAAGACAGACTGACCTAAGGAGCAGGGTACGCTCAGCTGAAGGGCCTTGGATACCTTGGACCTAGTTCTCTAAGGCAATGAAGAAGCATTTTTAAAATTAACATGAAGGAAGAAAGCATGATACTGGTAATTCCGTATGTAAGGAAAATCAACTGATGTTCATGACTGTGACAGAAAGCAAGGAGATAAAAGAAAAAGGAGAGTACTGAGTACCTAGACTCCAGAGCACTTCTCTCACCTGCGCTGATTCGATTTATACTAAATTTCTTTAGCCTCAAATGTATTTTATAATTCTATGATACCAATTCATTAGTTATCTAAGTAACCAAGGCTTAAAAGTCTTCCTTTTATTTTTCTCGGAAGGTCTGCTATCAATTCTGGATCAGTTTTCCTCAGAACACCCTGCATTTCATCACTTTTCTGTTCCTGCTGCCTATACCTTAATGTCAGGCCTCATGATCTTCTATTTCGTTTCTCCTTTCTTTCCCTCCAGGTTTGCCTGCCTTCATCTCAGTCTAAACACCCCTACACACCATTACCCTTTGCCAAAAATCATGGAGGCTGAGCTGGGTAATTCAAACCTGCATCCCCAGAGTATTAGGCAAGAATACACTCCAGCAAACTATCCTCCAACCTTCACATATCATGGTACATGTGCCTGCTCTCTCCCGTACACACTCACACACACATGAAATAAAAGTTAAACAAAATTTTAATCTTTGACGGTTTCTTACTGCCTGGGGGAAAAAATTTAAAAGAAACAATCTGTGTCATTACTGGGCAGAGGGACAGAAGGAGGAGAACCAGGAAGCTGCCCAGATGTCACTGTTTATCACTTTCTCAAGGTTGGGCTCAAATTCAACCTCCTCACTAATTCCCCCGTCATTAGTCTAGACTAGGCTAAGATGTGATTTAAAAATGTTCATAACCACATGGAAAATAAAAAGAGGTGAATGTTAATGTTTAACACAGTGTCCGCAGGGAAAGGTGGAGCACTCCTTGAATCCCCGCAGAAGGAGTTCAAGGCCAGCCTGATCTACATGGCGGGTCCCAGGTCAGGCTGGGCTACAGGGAGACCCTGTCTCAAAAAAGACCAAAAAAACACCCACAGTATCCAAAACATTATTTCAACATGTACTTATTAAAAATTTAATGAGTTGGTTTACACTGTTTTTCACACTGGCTTCAAATTACAGTGTATGCTTTCCAGTACATCTCTATTCAACCTAACCACATTTCAAGTGCTCAATACCTCATGTGGCTAGTAATAGCACAGGGCTAGACTCTGAAATCAATGCTTTGGACTGGGGAGCACTGTTTTCGCCACTGCTAAAGAGCAGGTTGGCGCCACTCTGCTTTTATACACACGTCTCAAGCTGGATTTTAATGGTACCACCATGTCTCCTCGACTAGAAACTAGCCATTCCCTTACCAGCAAATTGGTGGTCACCCAGCTGAATCCTACACAGCATTTAATTTCTCTGACCCCAGTGGAGGCACCTGTTGCCTTACCTAAACCACTGCAATTTCCTTTCACCTAGTTTTCCTGTTTCCGATTGCTCCTCTATACCCCATCAGCAAGACTTAAGAAACAAAAACCTTCAAACCCACTCCATGAAAAAATACTCTGCTAGTTTCTTGCTAACTGCTGAATAAAACCTAAACTCCTTCACTGGAAAACAAGATCACTTACAAGCTGATCTCAACTTACGCATTGGTTTGTCACTAACCACCCTTGCAGTGCATGCTCCAGCACAATGATTTTTCCATTCTCCTTAATAACGTCCAAACTTGACAAGTGTTCATCCCTGTACATCCCTCAGCTGTAGGTCTTTCACAAAGCCTCTTCATTGCTCTCCAAAACCAAGCACAGTGCTCACTGCAATCTAAATAACCATAGGCTGAAAATAGTGAACACACCTCGCCATACTATAAATCACTCCTGGGTAGTGATTTTGATCATCACTACTTCATCTCAACTATTTATTTGATACTTGCTTTCTCAGTAATGATCAAGCACGTTATTGACAGCCAAAGGGAAGTATGCCCAATGAAGCGTAAAGGGTAAAGAGTCTGGGCTAGCCTGGGGCTAAGTCTGACCTTGGTAGAGAAACGCTTTGCGACAGTCAAAGGAGTTGTAAAGTTGATTAGAAGGTGGGCATAAATGATGGCTTCGGTTCTCCAGGTCACCGAGGGCCAGAGTGGAGGACTATGAGCGGATGTGACCTCTTGTTTCCTAAAATGTGAAAAAACAAAAGGAGAAACTGCAGTGATTGTAGAAGCGCTTGGAGCCACCGCATTTCTAAGAGAGTCGACGGGCTAAAAGAACGCCGGGCCTCGTGCTGAGCCCAGGACGGGAGGAGCTGGAGGGAGGGAAGAACTCGGGGACGCCGCGGCCACTGGACCTAGGGCCCGAACTGGCGTCGGGGTCTCAGTCCAAGACGTGGTCAGAGGAAACAAGAGGGAAGGCGAGGGAGGGGGGGACAAGCGACTGAAGCCACTTTCCCGCCCCTCGCGGAACGCTGGTGCCGGAACCACAGAGACGGTCGCAACCGAAACGGCGGGTGCGCGTTCCGGCGACACCTGGCCGGCCGGAGGGCGTCCCCGAGGCCTCCGCGACACCCAACGGCCCCTCGCATCCTCTCGCCCTCACCTGCTGGGTTTGGCCTCCCCCCAGCACCGTCCGCGGCCCTTCCCAACCCCTACTGGAAGGCAGGTTTGACGGCGAGCGGAGCGGGCGCGCGCTCAGCAGCGGCTAGCAGCCGGCAGGAACCTCCGTGCGGCGGCCGCCATATTGGGCCTGAGGCAAGCGGCTGTGGCGGGGAGGGCCCGGGCGACACCATCTGCGGGGGCCGCGGGGACCCAGCCGCGAGAATGGCGACGGCGCAGAAGCCCCCAAGTGTAGTTATCTTGGAGCCACGCTTTGTTCGAGATTCTCTGATGGGGTCTGGAAGCTTACACCTGAGGAGGATCCCCCCTCAAAGAGACATGCGGCGTGACGTGCCGCCGGACCCCCCTGCTCTGGGCGGCGCGCGAGTGGCAGCGCCCGACGTCGCGACTTCCGCCGTCACCAAGGCCCTGCTACCTGCCGCTGCCCTTGGTCGCTGGTCGGCTCGGCGTCCGGGCTGCAGGTCGGTCACTGGGGACCCTCGCTCCAGCCGGGTAGGAGGGCGGCGGGGCGCACGTGGAGGGGACACCGGTCTCCCTCGGGTGAGCACTAGGTGCCCGCCCTGTAGCTCGTACGGAGGCGGTCGGACCTGGAAAGCGTCCTCAAGGCCCAGCACCTGCCTCCTCGCCTATTTGACCCTCTTTAAACAGTAAAACGCCTCCTGATTCAGCAGTCCCCAAATGTGCATGTGTCGATATGCATTTAAAAAACGTAATATCGGGGCTGGAGAGATGGCTGGGGGTTTAAGAGCACTGGCTGCTCTTGCAGAGGACCGGGGTTCGAGTCCCAGCACCCACATGGTGGCTAACAACCGTCAGTAACTCCAGTTACAGGGAATCCGATGCCTGTGACCTCCACGGGCATTGCGTGACACAGGTGCACATACATACATGCAGGCAATGCACTCATATACATAAAATAAAAATAGTATATTTTAAAACTTAATGTTTGGTTTCCATAAGATCTCGAGGATTCAATTGTACTATGCATTCAGTCCTGTTTTTCATGGGTCAATAGATAGGTTTTGGGCAGTATTTATAATGTGTAGGGTCCAGTTAGAGGATACCTCATTTTAAATGTCTAGGTTAATCTACTTATTTCCAACGTGAGTTTGGAATGACTCACCAAAATAAGATTCACATCTGAGTCAATATTCTTAGAACGGGGAAGAAAATTGTGTTGGACAAAAATATTAGGAAACAAAGTTTTTTGTTTTTTTTAAAGTAAGATGAGAAGTGAGGTTAATTGACTTGTTTACCTCTGTGCATGTGAGAGACCTTTAAACACGAGCTGGGGCCATGGTCTAACACTGTGACTTTGGATACTGGGTAAAATCTGAGAAATAGAACCGTGAGTGTGCATGCCAGTATCAGGAGAAGCAGTAGGACCGGAATCTACATTAAGCCTGGCACAGACTTTGCTGGTGCTTTTGCCGGGCTGCATTGCTTCTCTTTGAGTTGTCATGTGATGTGTTCATGTGCACGTGAGCCTATCTTCAGTTCATCTGTATGCAAGTTCTAACAGAAAATGGGCAATGCAATGATGTTTTTGATGAATTAGCACACATTTGCTGTTTTGTACATGATGATTGCCAGTTTGTTCATGCCTTTTGGAAACTGCCAAGAGCTAAAAAGCCTCAAGTACCATAAATATCAATTCAGGGAGAGACTGTAAAGAGGCACAGGAGACAGCTTTGGAGTGGACCCGAATTTGAATTACAGTCTTGCAATTGATAGATGTTTACTTATCTGTAAAATGAGGATAAGTTATTCCACATTGTATATAGAAATTAGATGGCCTGGTATCTAGTAGTCTTTCTATACTATAAAAGTAAGTTCTCATCTCCCTTACCTCTTAGTCATTTAATTTTTAGATTTTGTGACATTATTAAATGTTTTTTAATTTCTCATTTGTTATTTTTCAAAACTTAGTTTTCAATAAATTCTGCTTTACTAAAAAATTTTGCTAAAATAGTATTGTTTGCATTATCAAAAGTTTTACACACATGAAAGTTTTAAAACAATATTCGGGCTGGAGAGATGACTCAGCAGTTAAGAACACTGACTCTTCTTGCAAAAGACCCGTGTTTGAATCCCCAGCACCCACATGGCAGCTAACAACTGTCTATAACTCCAGTTCCAGGGGATCCGACAGCATTGCACAACACAGGTGCACTTACCTACATGCCGGCAATACATGCATACACATAAAATAAAAATAATAAAATATTTTTAAAATTCTCCTTTTCTTGGCTCTGCATCCTATCAAGTCAATAGTAAACTGAGAAATAAGATTTTGTGAACAGAGTGCAGTGGTCTTTTGTTGTTTTTTTAGACAGAATCTCACTGTCTCAAACTGGAATTTAATATATTTAGACTAGGCTGGCCTCAGAGATGCCTGCCTCTTAGAGGTGTGTGCTACCAGGCCTTGCTTGCAGAGTAATTTTTATTACATGTGTGCATGCATGTGAAGGTCAGAGTACAGCCTGTGGGAGTGGTTCTCGCTACCACATGGGTTCCAGGGACTGAACTTAGGTGGTCAGACATGGTGGCAAGTGCCTTTATCCACTGAACCATCTCACCAGCCCAAGTGGAATGTAATTTTTATAACCATTATCATCTTATCTTCATCAAGTAAGTGTTAATTATATTCTGATGCCACACAGACCCAAAGAGATTATGCTTTTAATGTCTGTCTCTTATCCATGGCTGTCTTCTGTTTCAGATGAAACCTAAAAGATATTTATTTTATACCAGGTGTGATAGCTCACACCTGTAATCTTAGCACTAGGAAGGCAGAGACAGGAGGGTCTGCTGCAGGTTCGAGGTCAGACTAGTCTAACAGTGGCTTCTAGGCTAGGCAGACCTGTAGCAAGATTGACCCTGTCTCAGTAAAACTCCAAAACCAAACCAAAGGTGATGACTTGTCAGCACATTAATTGTGCATTATTAGCGGAATTCCCATGCATATAGTGTGCATTGATTATATCCACCCTTCTTCCACCCTCATTTCCCTCCACACACTGTACCATTCCTAGTAATCACAATTCTACCTTTTTATTTCGCTATTTCAGAGGCAGTTGTGTTTTGTATCTCTAATTATGCTTTCTTCTGTTTTGGCAGTCATGCTTCAGCTTGTACGTGACCACTGGGTTCATATACTTGTCCCTATGGGATTTGTCATTGGCTGTTATCTAGACAAAAGGAATGATGAAAAGCTAACTGCCTTCCGGAATAAGAGCATGCTGTTTAAAAGGTTAGTTCCCACCAGCTCTGGGGAGTGTTCATATCCTCTGTGCCAGTGACAAACATGAGAGGTGATTTGTCCACTCTGAGGCCTTAGATACAAGTGGTACTTGAGGTTTGTTTATTCAGTCCTAGGATGAGATTATATGACTACCTCTGGAATGTACACAGTCCAGTCTATGAACTGCCTATTTCAGATCTTTGAAGTTTCTCTTTTTTTTAAACCTTTTATTAATTTTTAAAATATATCAAATAATGGGTTTCATTATGACATTTTCTTACATGTATATAGTTGTACTTTGCTCTTACCCTCCTCTCATCCTCCCCCATCCCTCTACTCTCTGCTGGTCCCCGGCCTCTCCAAACAGATTCCTTTGTTTTCACATCACATATATTTAAATCTAGACTGTGCAGGGCTGAAGAGATGACTCAGTGGTTAAGAGCACTTGCTGCTGCTCTTGCAGAGGATCCAAGTTTAGTTCCCAGTACCCACATGGCAGTTCACAGTCACCTGTAACTCTACCTCCAGGGGAATCTGATACCCTCTTCTGGCCTATAAAGGAACTAGGCACATACCAAAGCTCTCATACACATAAAATAAAAACAGATCTTGCAGAGCATGGTGGCACATACCTTTAATCCCAGAAGAGACAGGTGGATCTCTGTGAGATCAAGGCCAACTGATCTACATAGAGTGTTCCAGGCCAGCTGTGGCTACAGGGAGACCCTATCTGTTAAAACAGCAACAAACCAGATCTTTAAATCTAGACTGTGCACATGGAAGCAAAATCCCTCATCCCTTTCTTTTTTCTCCTTCCCATTCCCTTGAGGACTTTGTCTTCTCCAGCCCCTTCTAGAAAGTTGCAGTTTTTAAAATGTAAGAGTATATTTTAGTCTAGAAACAAAACTTAAGGCAGCTGCCCAAAGCCTCCGTGTAGCTTTATTATATACTATCTTACTTAAGCCATGGTGTGGCTTTCACTGCCCAAGAGCTCTACCACACATAGTGACTGACGGGGAACAATTGGGACCTGTCCTATGACATAGCTGTCTTGTTAGGTGTGTCTAACAAGACCAGATATCTACCAGTAGGTATGCATCTATCTGGACTGGAAGAAGCTCAAGGGGTAAAAAAGACTGAGTAGCATCCATAGTCACTGTGCAAGTGTGGTTCACAAGTCAAGGATTTTAAGAATGATGAAATGAGCTGGGAAGGGTCTAGAAAACATCAAATGCATTCAAAAGAATACAGATACCATATAAATTAAGAAATTATAGAGTTCTTTAAACAGGAAAAGAGATACAGTAAAAATTTAACTTTGGGCCAGGCATCAAGGCACACACCTTTAATCCCAGCACTCAGGAAGCAGAGACAGGTGGATCTCTGAGTTTGAGGCAAACCTGGTCTACATAGTGAGTTCCAGGCCAGTAAGGGCTACATAGCGAGACCCTGTCTCCAAAAAAAATTGCTTAAAGAAGTGTAAAATTATGAGCAAATTGGGGGCTAGAGAGATGGCTCAGTGGTTAGGAGCACTGGCTGCTCTTATAGAGGACCTAGGTTCGGTTCCCAGCACTCACACAGCAGCTAACAACCCTGTGTAACTCCCGTTCCGCAGGATCCCATGCCCTCTTCTGACCTTTGCAGGCATTGCACACATGGGTGCCCTTAAATGCAGACAAAATAGTCAAACATAAAAATACATTTAAAAATGAAAATTATGAGAGAATAGAATGAATGAATACAGTGAATCTAATGTTAAACTTTTACATAAGTTGTTTTGATAGAACTTCTGGCCCTCTCAAAAGTTGTATTTACAGTTTTTCTTTTCTTTCTTTATTATACAGGGAACTAAGGCCCAATGAAGAAGTTACTTGGAAGTAAAGACTCACTAAATTACAGGATGTTCACCTTTTAAAAGTTATGGGAGAAATAAAAACATGCTTATTATTTAATTAGAAGAATTTAAAGTGTGATTCTTTTTATTGGAATAATAATTTATATACTTATGTCTTATTAAGGTAACTTTCAAGTGTCAGGCAGAGTCGACTTAAGAAATGAACTGCCTGGTGCACCCCCTTTGCCATACGTCCCTCCTTGGGCCTCCATCTCTGCTCTGTCAGGACCTTTGTGGACTCCTAAATCAACTCTCGTCAGACAGCCTCCTTATACAGCAGATGGTGATTAACTCAAACATGCAACTAGCCAGCATGCAGGGAGTAAGAGGCTGCAGAGTGCTTTTCCTTGAATAGGACACCTGTATCAAGCTTCTGCCTCCCAAGGTTCAGGGATTATTGCAGAAGAAGGGGTGGAAGGATTGTAAGAGCCAGAGGAGGAGGATGACCACAAGGAAACAGTTTTCCAGACAGCTGGTCAATTATTCATATGAACTCACAGCAACAGCATGCACAAATCCCCCGTAAGCTTGAGCCACACAAAACCCCAGCAAAGACATGGGGAAGTGGGTAAGAAATCCCAGCCCTATCTGAGGGATGACTGACAACCAATGGCTGCCAGGAAGGGGAGATTCCATGTCATTTAAGGGTGACACTTGGTAGGTTGACCAGGCTTCAGTGAATGAACCCATACTGAAGGACATTTGGAGACACAAACCTGACTCTACAGGCCTTAATATATATATATACATATACATATGCATAGATAAATATAAAAGTACAGAAAATTTGGTGGTGTGTCAATAAAGGGGGGGTTGCAGATTCAGGAGGAGATCTAAATGTGATCAAAATATATTTTATGAAAATTTGCAAAACTTCAATTTTTGAAGAAAGGAAAAAATGACCGTTGAGGCCAGGTGTGCATGCCTGTAGCACTTGGGAGGCAGAGACAGATGAATTACTGTAAATTCAAGGTCAGCCTGATTTACATAGCAGGTTCTAGGAAAGTAAAAATTATGACAATTGAGTACTTCCTTGTGTACATAGGTGTTCCATTTATATTAGCATTTAATTTTCCATTTCTCACTTTTGCACACGGTTCTACTGTTACATACACAGTTTTTTTCCCCAGATATATTTCAAACCAGGTATGCTGTGGTTTCAGAGTATTCCCTAGGAGTTCGTCTGTTCAAGCTTAATCTCTATTGTGGAGTAAAGAGAATGGAAATTTCTCTGGCTGTCATGTATGGAAGTGGGGCCTTTGGGAGGTGATTAGGATTAGACATGACACCAGGGATAGCATCTGTGACTGAATGACTGGTGGCTTTGTAAGAAGAGGAAGGGAGGTGTGCTCCATATCCCCTGCCATGAGATGCACCACCTCAGAACTCCGCCAACACCTTCAGAATCACGAGCCAAAATAAACCTCTTCACAGCTTTGCCTGGCCTCAGGTTTCTCCTTAATAGTAACACAGAGGAGACTAAGACAGTGCTTCAAGGGAACTTTATAAGGATGACACTCAGATTTTATTTGACAAAAATCATAGCTACAGAGATGGGGGGGGCTTGGATTTGGCAAAGATTTCCTAAATACAACACAAAGTATGAATGATTTTTGAAAGAGTAGCAAATTCTACTCAATCAAAATTTAACATTTGTCCCAATTCTCAGGAGGCAGAGGCAGGCAGATCTCTGTGAGTTTAAGGTGAACTGGGGCTACAAGGAAAACGTCTCAAAAAAAAAAATTTAGGCCGGGCATGGTTGCACATACCTTTGATCCCAGAGGCAGGCAGATCTCTGTGCATTCCAGCTCAGCTGGAGCCAGTCTGGTCTACATAGTGAGTTTCAGGTCAGCTGGGGCTATAAGGAGACCTGTCTCAAAAAAAAAAATTAAAATTTGGGGGTCAGGTATGATGGCCTATGCCTTTAGTCTTAGCACTCAGGAGGTAGAGGCAGGTGGATCTCTTGAATTCGAGGTCAGCCTGGACTAGAAAGTTCCAAAATAGCTGTTTGAAAGTTCCAAAATACACAGTGAGATGCTGTCTCAAAAAATAAAAAGATGCTCCTTTTAGGGCTGGAATACAGTTCAGTGGTAGAGCCTCTTCTGGGTATTTCATATAACTACACACATCTAAGATGTGACCTAGTGTGGGTGGATTCCTTGACAGGTTTTAAGTTCTTCTGTGCTGTAAAATATATCAGTGCTTCATTTTTTTTTTTTTTCTTATGGCCAAACATTCCTTGTTTACGGTGTTGTGTGACTTTCCTGGGGAGATGTGAACAAAAATGCTTATTCACTCCAGATAACTTAGCTGCCATGTGGGTGCTGTGAAATGAACCCAGGTCCTCTGCAACAGCAAGTTCTCTTAACTGCTGAGCCATCTCTCCAGCTCCTTGTTTTTTTGTTTTAAACAGGGTTTCCCTGTAGCCCCAGCTGACCTGGAACGTGCTATATAGACCAGGCTAGCCTGGATCTCACAGAAATCCACCTGCTTCTGCCTCTCAAGTGCTGAGATTAAAGGTTAAAGTCATGCACCACCATATTCAGCTATACTGTACCTTTTAACTGGCACTAATTTTTGTTGCCTCAAACGAAATAGTTTAACAGTTTCCAGTGTCTGGAATTTTAACATTTATAATATGAGGTGCCCCCTTCTGGTGCACATTTCCACACCCAGAAACACAGGTAAAATAAGTAACTCTTAAAAACAAAAACTTTATCTTCTCTTCCCAAGACTTTGTTCCTCCTGCAAAACGTTTCTGATTTGAGGGTCAGTCCTGCTACAGTTGTGCCTGCAGCAGACACCCAGAAGTTTGTCCTAAACTTCCCTCTCATTCTCTAGTCTCTCACTAAGCTCTGTTGAGTCTACCAGCTTCCTAATGCTCTCAAAACTGTCTCTCGATCCTCAGAATGACTACTCTGGTCCTGACCACCGTCAGCTCATCTCTCACAACATTCCTTCATGCACTCTTCATAGTAATTCTCTAAAATGAAAATCTGGCCATCCAGGACTCCTGTTTTAATATCTCAGACTGCTCCTTCCTTGCCTTTTTATTTGTCCTCGGGTCTCCCTATGTAACCCAGGCTGCAGGCTGGCATACCCCCAGCTGCCCTGCAACTCGGAATCCTCCTGCCTCTGCCTCCAGAGTGCAAGGATTACAAGTGTGCACCTTCGTGCCCAGCTTCCTTGCTGCTTTTAAATAAAGAACAATCTAAAATGGTTTCAATATGCAAGATCTGCAGCCATCCTCCCATCAACGTTCATCATGTCCTCCCCCTCACCTCACATTTTGCTGGACTTTTCACTTCCCTGCTGATGCCTCTTTAACCTCCAGAGCACCTACCCTAGTGACTGGATTTTAATCCTATCTGACAACTTTCTGTCCTTGGACACTGTGCTGTTCCTAACTTCATGTCTCAGTTTCCTCTTTTGTATAATAAGAATTATAACCGCAGCGACATCAAAGGTTGCTGCGGTTGCTGTATTAAATTAGTTATTATGGGGCTGGATCGCCCATGGCTCTGGGTTAAAAGCACTGGCTGCTCTTGCAGAGAACCCAGGTTCGATGCCCAGCACCCACATGGCAGCTAACAGCCATCTGTAATTCTATTTGTAGGGGAGCTGACGCCCTCTTCTGACCTCTGGGGGAATTGCACAACACAGGTGCACTTGCATACATACAGGCATTACACTCAATACACATAAAGTAAAAACATTTTTAAAAATTCGTTATATGCAAATCACTTAGAAAAGGGCTTATCGTCAGCCCTCCCTAAATTTTTGCTATCGTTTTGACCTAAATACTAGGTATTGGGAGAAAACCTTTTCTTGCATGAAATTTTCAGTGGAGAAGATGTTAATTACACACAAATAAGTAGAAAGTATCAAATGAGGCTGTAAAATTAAAAACACAAACAAAACGGCAAGGGATCCTCATCTAGAGCTCCAGAATCCGAAGTTGGGGAAGTTCCTCCCCGCCGCAGGCGGCGGCGCAGCAGCACCAAGTACGGGGTGGGGAACTCGCACTGGGAGGGAACCCCCGGCGGCCGAGTCACGTGGCCCGCACTCCCTCCCTCCCCCGCTATCGCCGGGTCCGCGTGCCACGTGACACGCGCCCGCGGACATGACTGGTCGGCGTGCGGCACGTGGCCCGGGGCTGGGTGGAGGGGTGGGGCCGGGGGCGGAGCTGTTGGAGGGGGCTCCTCCGCGCGGGGGGCCGTTGGCTCTGGACAAATAAACATGGAGTCCATCTTCCACGAGAAAGTGAGTGTAGGCGTTCGGTGGGGAGTGGTCCGCGGTTAGACGGCGGGCGTGGGGAGCGGCGGGGCCGCCTCAGGAGCGTCGGCCGGGGCCCAAGCGCCCCATCCGGCGGGGCGAGGGACAGCGGCCGCGCCCTCTGCTCGGCTCGGGAGCGTCCCCGTGCACCCGCTGCGTCTGGCCCGGGAGGGACCCCGGAGAAGACCAGGAGGGGACCTGGAGGGAACCAGGGCCGCGCGCGGGTGCCCCGGGGCTTCACCTCCTAGGGCAGCTTCCGCGCTACCCCCTCTCTTTGCCACACCTTTCGGGTTGCTGGGTCTCCCTCTCTGAGAGGATCCCGTCTGGCGGGTCACCTTTTCACACCTTTTGGACTGTTCCCAGCTCACCCACGCCCCCGGACTGCATGCACCCTGGCAGAATCCACTTTTCCTTAACTCAGTTCCATAATGGAATGTCCCATGCATTTCGATCTTGGAGGTCTACCCCACGTCCTTCTGCAAGAGGGTCGGTGGCTCTCCCTTCCGAGGGCCTGATGCTAAGGAAGTGAAGTAGGAAACCCTGGGCGCGTCGCAGCAGGGAAGTCGTCATAAGAGTTTTTGTTAGGGGATGTTGGATCTGGTTTGCTGTTCGCATCTTTCCGGATCAGGAGGCCAGCTTTGTTTTTAGGTATTAAGGGTAGATTGGCATCTATTTTGCTGTGATCTGCGAAGCCTGTTCCTCACCTTCATTAAGTGACTACATAGTGGCATCTTGAGAAACTGGTCTTTTTCTCACATACAATTATCAAGTCATTTGGGTGTGGGTGAAACCTTCCCCAAGACAACTTTGGCAGAGGATATCCTGTTTCATAATACTTTTAGGTTTGGTAAGGGTTGCTAGTGAGGCTATTGTGTAGTAGGGGTAAAGGGTTTTGTTCTGTGGAGTACTTGCAAATGAGCATTTATTCAAGCATTTTAAGAGTTCACACACCACAAATAAAAGACAAAAGTAACATCTAAATCTGAAGAAATTGTTAAAAGCAGTGCTTTTAAGAGGGCGTTTATGCTGGGAGTGGTGGCCCTCCCTTGCCTTTAATCCCAGTTTGGCAGGCAGATTTCTGAGAGTGAGGTCAGCCTGGCCTATGTAGACTTCTATACCAACTGGGGCTACAGGAAGACCCTGACTCAAAAGGAACAGACAAAAATCATTTCCCATTTGACAGCTATAACCAGTGAGGTGTTTTGTTTTGTTTTGATTTGTTTTGTTTTGAGAAGGTCTCTTGTAGACCAAGCTGGCTTCAGACCCTCCATCTTCCCCATCCTCCTGTCTCTGCCACTTAAAAAAAAATACATTAAAAATTATTTATTTATTTATTATTTATTTATTGGTCTTTTTGAGACAGGGTCTCCCTGTAGCCACAGCTGGCCTGAATTCACTGTGGAGACCAGACTGGCCTCGAGCTCCCGGAGATCTGCCTGCCACTGTTTCCCGAATGCTGAGATTAAAGGCATGTGCCACCACATCCAGTTTATGAAACATGGAAGACTTTTAACACCCTGTACACTGTTTCATGAAACTTGTACAATGCATTTGTTTTTTTTGTTTTACCTGGTCTTTGAAAGGGACAGGGTCTCTCTGTAGCCCCAGCTGGACTGGAACTCACTATGTAGACTAGGCCTTGATTTCACAGAGATCCAACCTGCCTCTGCATCCCAAGTACTGGGATTAAAGCCATGCACTACCACGCCCGGCCACAATGCATTTCTTTTTTAAATCATTACTATTTTTAAAAAATATATATATTTTATTATTTTTATTTTATGTGTATTCGTTTATTGCCTGCATGTAGGTAAGTGCACCTGTGTCGTACAATGTCTGCAGAGGTCAGAAGAGGCTGTTGGATCCCCTGGGACTGGAGTTAGGGACAGTTGTTAGCTGCTATGAGGGTGCTGGGATTCGAACCTGCTCTTCTGTAAGAACAACCAGTGTTCTTAACCGCTGAGCCATCTCTCCAGCCCCAAATCATTACTATTTTGTGTAATTGGGTGCACATGTCATGGTGTGTGTGGGGAGGTCAGAGGGCAACTTTAAGTCACTTCTCTCCATCCACCTTTGTATAGCTTGCAAGGAATGAACTCAAGTTATCAGGCTTGCACAGCAATCACCTTTACCATAACCGCTGAACTATCTCACAGGCACTTACACAATGCATTCTTTTTTTTATTTTATTTTTTTTATTTTTTTATTTTTGGTCTTTTTGAGACAGGGTCTCCCCATAGCCCCAGCTGGCCTGGAACTCACTATATAGACCTGGAACTCACAGAGATCCACTTGCCTTTGCCTCCTGAGTGCTGAAATTAAAAGCATCCACCACCAACACACAACTTATGTAGCAATTTTTTATGAGGAGGTTGCTATGGATTCTGTTGAAGGAGAGGGTGAGGAAGAAGGAAAATACTACTAATCTGTTCCTTTCAGCCCTGTAGCATGTCAGACTCCCAGAACTTCATTTCAACATTAGCAGGCATCAATGTTTGCTGATTAGGTTAGCTTCCCTGTGATCATGTCTCTTTTTTCCATGTGAACCTGTAAGGTTTTTCCCTGATGTATCAAAGTAAAAGCTTTAAGGAGAAAAAAAAAAAAGCCCCAAAACAATGCATTCTTAACATACTGATTGTTCCTCTTTTGGGCCTGTTTCAGTGAAGGTAGCTACTGAATCATTATATCCAAAGAAGGATGCTAACAATACAAAGGTACTTACTAGGGCTGAGGAGATGGCACAGTCAGTAAAACACTTGCTGTGTAAGCATGAGGACCTGAGTTCAGATCCCCAGCACTCACATAAAGCCAGGCATCCCCCAGCACTTGAGAAGGGGAATGGAGACAGGTGAATCCCAGGCAGTCTGGCTGAATTGGTGAGCCCTGAGCTCAGTGAAAGATTGTCTCAAAAAATAACGTTGAGAGCAACATGCATACACATATATACACAGAACACATAACACACAAAACAAAACCTCCTTACCTAAAAAATCAGTAATCAGCATGTGTATATACTTATAAATATTGAGAAGTACATTTACCTTTTGTGTGTATGTGTGTGCATGTTCATATGGAGGGAATGCACTTGTGTACATAGACATATGAAAGCCAGCGGACACCCTTGCTGTGTGCCCTATCATTACAAGTGTGCATCATTATGCTAGGCTTTTTCATGTGGGTTCTGCAGATTGAACTCAGGGCCTCATGCTTATAAGGTGAGCTCTTCACCACCTGAGGTATCTCTCCAGCCCTGAGTAGTATATTTATCTTTAGCATCAATTTATATAACCTTAGTCAATGAACACTTAATAAAGTGTAGCACATTTCAAGAGAATGTATCTGTGAATATAAATTATTATTCCTATAAGAGGACATTCTGGGAATGTTTGAGCATAAAATGCTCCTTTCCGAAGAACTCAATTTCCCTCCCTTTCACAGTGTACATTTAACTAAAGATCCAGAGAATCAGGGTGATTCTGAAAATGTCACGCAGATATGGATATCGACCTAGAGAAGACATTGCAGCCACTTCCTCTTGGAATTAATTTTACACTTAACATTTTGAGTATTTATTACTGTTAAAATATGAAAACAGTCGTCCACTGATAGACCTCCAGTTTGAAGTACTGGTATATGCCTGTATTTAATAATCTCAGCTACTCAGGAGGCTGAGGCAGGAGGTTCAACCAAATTCCAGGCCTAGGTAAGACCCTGTGTATGTTGAGGGAGTGGGGGAGCATCTAAGATGTATGTGGCTCTCTTTGTTTAAAGTACACAACTCTTCTGTAATTTTTGTTGTTGTTATGGGAGACAGGGTCTCACCATGTATCCCTGGCTGGCCTGGAACTTGCTAGGTAGACCAAACTGGCTTTGAACTCACAGGATTCACCTATTCCTACTTCCTGACTGCTGGTATTAAAGGTGTGTGCCACCATGCGTGGAGTGTATCAGTACTTTTAGTGTGATGTGAACTAGGAATGCTAACCACAAAAAGATTGAAAAGATGCTGAGGGTTGACTTTGTCGACATCTAGTATGCTTCTGTGATTGATGGCTCTTAGCCATCTTATGTGGTGCTTTTAGAAAAGCCAAATTTCCAAAGAATTGATTTGAGGAAATGATAGTAGCACAGACTTAACCTCTGCCTGGGTTTGCATTCCAGCTCTGCCACTTGCTGGGTAGGTTATTGCCTCTGTAGTGTAAGGATATAAAGCAGCTACTCAAAGTTACCTTTGCTTAGGTGCTGCCTGGCAGTCCATGTTACAGAAGCAGTAGCAGCTGCATTACACCGAGCCTTGTGTTTGCTAAACTCCTTGTGAAGTGCTAGAAGAGTGTTAGGAGTGTCCTCAGCAGAGCGCATGCTTAGTCTGGGCAAGGTTCTGATCTCCATCCCAAAACACAAGCCAAGGGACAGGAGTACTCTACATTAAAGAGATAGAAACAAGAAGACTTCTCAAATTGTGGCTGAGATTTGAGAGATCACTGTAGCTCTAAGCCATAGTCTTATCCAACCAAGAAGATTGAATGATGGGGTTGTACCTGATTTCTGTTGGCGTTAATAGTGTCTCCAGGGATTTGAAGTAGTTTCAGGTTGGGCCTGAATACAGGCAGTGATTTGGTTACATTGTGGTTTTATAAAATATCTTGGTAGAAGTGGAAGAGCAGTATGTTCATCCTCTGCGCCCAGCACAGTAAACTCTGGATCCAAACCTGTAGAAACCCAAAGTGAGTTTCTCTTCCAGTTGGGTGAAATTTTTTTAACTTTTTAATTTTTATCTTATTTATTATTTTTATTTTATGTATATGTGTGTATTGACTGCATGTGGGTAAGTGCACCTGTATCCCATGTTGTGCAGAGCTCTCGGAGGTCAGAAGAGGCTGTCAGATCCCCTGGGACTGGAGTTAGGGACAGTTGTTAGCTGCCATGTGGGTGCTGGGATTCGAACCCAAGTCTTCTGCAAGAACAACCAGTGTTAACTGCTGAACCAT